ACACACACAAGGTGTAAAATTGAAGATTATTTAATTAAATACGACAAATTTTTCTTTAAATTTCTTATAAATATATTTTCATTTGACTACTTCTGCCTTAAATAAATATAATTTTTTAATATCATTACTTATCTTTTGAGATTCATTTAGACATAATTCAGTTATGTGGCTTGGTTGAAGTAGATCCAACTTTTCTTTAAATTTTATTTTATTTTTGCACTAATTTCCTTATACTTCAAGTTTGGTTTTTGAGGACTTGCTTAAAATTGTTTAAATCAATGGTATTGACACTATTCTAAAAAATCTGAATTGATGACATGTAACTAATGCTCTGGGTTCACAAAACTGGTTTTGGGGGTCAATTGCATTTTTATGGGGGTTGGACTGCCATAAAGTTTGAATATCTCAAATTCATGTTTGCTTCAAAAAATTCAATTATACACCAATTTTCAGAATTATGCCTTAACAACTCCTAAGCTATAGGCAAAATTAGATAGTAAACTGGGATTCTGAAGTAAAGGAATAGTATTATAGAAACAAGAATAAATAACTACAGTACAAAGTCCGAAGTCCGGATGTCCATTATCCGGAATGATCTAAAATCCGGACTTTAAAACTACCAAAACAGTTTTTCTCATAGGCTTTACGCATGCGCACTTGATTTTCCCCTCCGTGCATAATAAAACGTCTCGAGAGTCCCAATTCTTAATTTAACTTCGACACCAAATAAAATACCTTGTTATTAAAGAAAGAATCATTTTAGCATAAATTAGTACAATCGGTAATTTGCAGCGTATCTGCTTTGCTTTGGCAGACATCTCAAATCGAAACATTCCACATAGATACATCGTTGATCTGATGCCAACCTGGCGAATCATAAATAATGACTTACATATTACTTTCCTTTCATCACTGCATGTTTATTAAAACATGATAACTTGAGTAATGACTCATGTCGCGATCCCTAAACAATTTTTTTATATTAATAATAAAGGAGTATGGTAACCTTTCATGTTGACATTACGCTTGGCAATGATTACGGATTTAAGTTAAATGTGCTAAAAAATTTTCATGAGGAAAACTTTAACAAATTTTTTTTATAAGCTAAAAATAAATTTTTTAATGATACTCATAGGCCAAAAGACTACATTTAGTGCTATTTGAATTAAGGAATAACTGATTTATTACTCACATAAAACCAGAACCAGCGCCAGGGCTCGTATGGCCACACTGCGTGGCAGAATATTGGATCGACAGAGTCTGGTAAGATATCTAGCGCCGGCCCTCAATAAGGCTTAAGTATAAGCGAGAATTTATTTAAGTATGTATTATTTATGTTCAGTATGTATTATTAAGTATTATTAAGTATGTGGAAGAAAAAGACATAAAAATAATAATTAACTAAACTAATACAATTCAGGCTTAATTGTCTCAATGCACGACAGAAGCAAGATAAAATTTAACGGAACAACTTGTCATTAGTTGCTAAGCCCATGACGCATAGCCAAGTATGTATAGTGAAGGATAGTTAAATTTGATGACGATAGCGCAAATTTTAAAGGTTTTCGGATATCGCAAAACAAAGGTGAAATTTTTCAATTAATGCATTTTGTAAAGAAATGTGAAGAAACGGTAATAAATGAAGATAATACATATATATATATTTTTTTATAAATGGCGGGCACTTGCTTATAACGGCATTGGCCACTACTGGCCACTGCTACCAGAAGCAATGACTATTTTATTATGGAGGCACCTAATAGCAGCTACCTTTCCCTCCTATGAAGGGACAGACAAATTTACATCCATGCCTTCTCCGGGATTCAAACCCGGCCCTTCGGTATCCCAGTCAGGCTCCCCTAACCACTATCCATCTGGGAGGCAATGAAGTTGATATAAAAGAAGTTTTTCATTCTGATGGCAATGCTTCTATATTATCAATCAAACAATGAATGGCAAAATCTGTATTATGGTTCTCGATCCAAAAAATACCGCTACTGTTAGTGAAGAAAGTAACAAAGAAGTTACTGAAAACTAGAAAATTTCAATTGACAAGTTAGTCGGAATTCTCAAATACATTACAAGACTTCATTCCAATGTATCTAACAACAGTTATTCTATCACATAATTAAGAAAAGTGCTAGCAAAAAAAAACAAACTTTGAAAACTTTTAATAGGTAAAAAAAATAACTATTAAGCTTTTTTTTTTTTTTTTTTTTTTTTTTGTAAATTTATACCCTTTGATCAAAATACTTCATTATTATAATCTGGTTTCATATTTTAATTTTTAAGTTTCTACCTCATCTACAGTTTTAAACTGATGATCTAATATCCAGAAAAATCCCAAATCCGGAATCGCTGAAGTCCCGATGAGTCTGGATTTCGGACTTTGTACTATATTATTTTCTAAAATACAGACCACAGTAATATTAGTCAATGCTCAATCCTCTCACACACAATGATGTCTGGGACATGCCATTTATTGTTAATGTCAAAACACATTTTGATGCATGCTAGATGTCACGAAACTGTTATTTGTTTTATGTAAAATTGCCTATTTGTTACATTTAAAAAATTTACATATAATTTTGAAGACCCACAAATTAGTCTAATGGTAAATTAATTCTTATTTTTAAAAACAACTTTTAATTTTATTTGTATGTCAAGGAATTAATTTCTAAAATTAGAGTTTATGGGATTGTTTCAGAAGAAGGAAACAAAAATTAATAAATAAAACAAATAATGTATAATTACAACTAAGTAAAACATAAAGGGATAAATAAAAACATTAAATAAGTAAAAACTAAAAAAATATGTAATAAAACTAATACAAAGTAAGTAAATATAAATTTTAAAAAGGGCCATGAAAATCAAAAGAAATAATAAAACAACATACTCTTGATTATCTGGTTTGTGGATTATCCGTGGATAATGGTACACAACAAGAACACATAAAATGAAACTTTGGAAGAAAAAGAAGCCTAAATCATACCAGGGGAGCAAAAAGAAACATCTCCTTGTAGTTTATTAACATCAAAAAGAAGCATAGATGATTAAGTTTATTTGATTATGAACACTCATGCAATCAGCCCATTTGTGGGATTCAAACCTCAGACCAAAGGCTATCTGCCTATGAGGAAGGTTACCTTCATAGAGAACTTTCTAAGGGAAACTGGCTTGTATACACAATGTGGGGAAAACCACAAAAAAACACTCATGCTACCAGTCCATTTGTGGGATTCAAACCTCAGACTGGACTACCAACATTCAGCGACTTTATTACTCACCTGCTGATAGGCCTGAGGCATGGATGAATAGAGAGATATTTGATATTTAGTTACTAAATAGGTTCTTGAAGTGACTTTTTAAAAAAGGTAAAGGATTACCAGGAAAAGCAGTATTGTTATTAGATAATACACCTTTTTCTCCAAATGAGATTATTTTAAAAACAATGCATAGTCAAATGATGATTAAATTTGTACTGCCAAAATGTTACAGTTTAATGCTATCAATGGAGCAAGGTGTAATAAATATCATCAGTCAAATGACTTTACAGTTCTGGTCTTCTCAAAATTCTTGCTGAGGAAGATGGTGATTTAATGAAGTTTTGAAAAAAGCTGACTGTATTGGATGCCATGAGTAGAAAGAGCTTGGTGGAAAGTAAAACAAATAACAATGGTTGGATCATGGAGATAAAAAATAGGATATTTATCTAATTATGAAGAAATCGAGGCAATAGCTTTACGTCAAAATAACTGAAAATATAAAATTCTTTGAATATGTCAACCAGGAAAACACTGAGGAATGGTTTGATTGGCAATTTGACCAAGCTGAGCTTTCAGTGCTTGATTGATGCCAATACTGTATCAGATCTCACAAGAACAGACCCATAGACAAGCAAAGAAATTACTAACAATTACATTAGCTTCAAGACAGTAATGACTTTGTTGATTTAAGACGATTTAAGTACAGAGATAAACTAGCACATAAAAAAAATATGTGGTGAAATTCGGCAAATATTTAACTTCTCAAAAAAAGTAAAATTACTAACACTGAAATTTTCTTCTTCCAACTATTTAAGTTTCCACTAGTATTTTGCTCTTCCCATGACAAATGAGACATACTTTCTGGAACTAATTATAAGTTTTATTAATTGCTACACAAAATGTTGCAATAGTAATATAATTGAATTTTATAATTTCTATTACATTTAAGCATACATATGTTCATTACATAATTTCTATTACATTTATTCTTTATACTAATTAAGAAAAATACATGTCTTACATATCATCCAATAATATAACTGTTAGAAATCCCGTGCAGACAAACAGTTTATCTTAAAGATGGATATACTACAGATGTTTAAAAAAAGATTGCATGCTTAAATGTATCTCAAACTGTTAGCATATATTTATGTTTCAATTAAAAGAATGAATCAAATAAGATTTCAGATTATACTTTGTAATAAAAAATACATGAAATTTCAATTGCTATAAACTTGCTTAAAGGTCTTTTGTCAGGACCTGTTCTGAAAGGTACAAAATTATGCAGAAAATTCCTGCCAAAATAGTATGATCCTTTGTATTCATAATGAAAAAGTCAGAATTACTACACTGGTTATCATAAATTAAGGAAAAATCACAAAAATCATGATTACTGAAAAAGTTACATGTAGAATTTTATGAAACTTACCCACAATATACAACACATAGCAAGGTATCAATAAAGAATTACCAGCAATTATTAGTATAGAATTAGCACTGTATAAATGAACAAATTGAAGATGCAGTTTGCTATAGGAAAGTACCATCAAATGGAATATAATTGCCTCAGAAGCAATACAGCACATTCAGCGATGTATGATGCTTTCAATTATGCGGTCTTCAATTCCATAGGAAGTGAGAGCCATTGCCTTGCAAAGCAATTGCAATGCGGCAAAAGTCTAAGGGGGGGATTGAGAGCAGCTAAAGTCTCCTAAGCATCCCAAGGCCGATAGGAATTCAAGTCCGGGGATCGAGCTAGCCACCATGCCCATAATTGTTTCCTGTTGAGATAATCATCTATGATGCTAGCCGTGTGGTCTTGCGTTTCGTCCTTGTCGTTGGCATATGGGCACACATAACATCAAGGATTCTTTCTATAAATCTGACATTCACGGTTCCCCTTGGAAATACATGGAGTTTGTGCATCCACCCAGAGATGCCACCCAAACACAGTCACTGCCCCTTCCGTATGCATCTCTTTCAGGATGTTGACGAATGATAACGGGTTAGGTTTCTCCATATCAACACGCTTTCTAGACTAAACCTGGCTCATCCGTAAAGAGAACCGCCCTCCAGTGATCAGCGTCCAGTAGACATGTGACTGCCCACTGAAACAGTCCCCCTATGGCGTGACGTGAGCGGCACACAGGGCTGGTCGCCTGCATACAGACCACATTCGTGAAGCCTTCTACGCACAGTGGTTAAACCAACCTTCATGGCTGCAGCAAGGGAGGATCTAAGAAGAGTCGGATAGCGCTTCTATTCCTGAGTGCACATAACGTCAAATTCAGTCATCACGCTCGTGTAGAGTTGGCCGTCCTTGCGAACCTCCTAGGTGCCGATCCGTTGATTTGAAATTGCCTCGAAGTCTAAACCAAAGACTCACATTAGCCATCTGGCACTTCTGTTTGACTTTGTTCTGCCTCTATCTCCCAATGGCTTTCTGTCGTAGTTCTGCAGGAATGAGACTGGAATCATTGTTTGAATGGCTATCTCAGATTCTGATGTCACTATCACAGTGAAATATGTGGGCTTGCTCTCAAACAGGAACGTTTGTTCCCGCAGATGATGTATTCTGATTGCAGCGCCACTAATTTGCATGTTGGAGTTTTACTCAGCTACCCTTACTTGGCAACATATTCAAATTTTACACGGTTTGGCTTATTTTTGACAGAGTTATCACTATTTTTGTTATTTTTCCTTAATTTATGATAACACCAGTGTACTTCATCTTTACATATTACATATGAAGTTATTTTATTTTTTTAAATTAACTTTTTTAAAAAAATTTTATTTTAGGAAAATAGAACAGAGTTTAGATGAGATACACAGGGAGTTATGTTCCTACAGTGTGGATTTCATAAAAATTATTTGAGAACCCTTTTTCAGATAAAGAACAGGACACTGTGTTGGGATGGGGGACATATGTCAACATTTAAAGATATTATATATATATGAAAAATAATGAATTAAACTAATAATAAAAATGTAAAACTACGTACAAGGCATCTCCTTTCCTGAAAAATTACTTTATGATTACACCATAGCACTTTTAGAAGATGAAAGTTTCTAACTGAAACTTATATAGTTAAACTTTGTCATAACCGTTGCATTAAGAAAACTGTATTCAAATATTTAAATACATATTATGATAATATGTTATTTTATATGATTTGCCGGGATTTTAATTAAAAATTCATTATATTATTGGGTAATTTAGATCTTGTTTTTCTCACTGACTTAATTTTCTACAGGATGCCTACAAAAATTTGTTTTGCATATCTTTTATAAGATGTCATATAATAAAAATTGTTGTACTCTCAAGGCCTATGTTATTTGATTACCTTTTAAATTAAAAATGTGCATCTAAAATTAATTGTTCAAAATATGTTTAACTGTGAAATCATTTCTAAACACATTAAACAATAAAAGCTTTATACTGCATACTGCATAACTACCATTTTCTATTAATACTGCATTTCAGTTACATCAATAGGGATGCACTAAAAGTGGGGATTTCAACCAGAATTACAATTTCACATCAAAAACTGAAATGTACCACAGGTGGGCTCCACCTAAAGTTATCAATTGATATTAATATAATTATTCATATGAACAATTTAAGCTGCTAATATATATTAACATCCAAAACTAAATGCTTAAAAACTAAAGTATATTATGCTCCAGGAAAGAATGGAAAAACAATGTATATTATTAATCTTGAGAATTTAGCAAACATAAAATGAGGAATACTAAATTACACCTTTGTAACTGATCTTACCTCTTGTGAAAAAAAGAAAATGTCCACAGCGTCACGAAAGTGCTTAAGACTTCATTTGAATTCTTGAATTAAAACAAATACTTTTTATGGAACTGGTGACCAAGAACTAAACAGGGAAAAAAAGTATTAACAATGATAACAAAATATCTGCAAAGGATATATTTGAAATGATCATACAATTTAAAAATTCTGAACTACAGCGATTAAATTTAACAATGACAAAACCCTATCGAATAAAGCACACGAATAAACATTTTTAAAACAATGAGAAAATAGAATGAAACATTTTTAAAGGTGGAATAACCTAAATTTTCCTATTACAACTGTTACACCTCTATAAGGGATTTTAAGATTTAAGTTTATCTTAATAAATGTTATTTTCAATCACTTTACCATACCAATGAGAACTGAATTCACACGATCAGATGTATTTTTAAATTAAACATATTTTAAATTAAAACACTTACATATATATATATATTAGAAAATAAAGTAAAACTTAAATAAACAAAAAGCACATTGTTTTTGAATTGCTCTGCTTATGAAGTAATCACAAATGATAAAATCTGAAAGATAATTTAAAGATATTACACTTTGCCTAATAGTAACATGCTTATTTGCTAAATCATGGGGAAAATACATGTTTCTTAGATCTTGTTTTGAGCAGCAGCAACCATTCCAAGGCTTGTAAGTGGTAAAATCATAGATGACCATATAATATTATGTAACATAGTGCATAAAATTCTGATAAAACTCCACTAAGGCATTCCTAACATAATAATTAAAAATCCAATAATCAGCCTGTTTCATCATCTAAAATCAAACAATCAGTATTCAGAAGTTTAACCCACTGGGCAGCATAGGTCTTGCATCATTAAGAATTTCAGATTAAATACAGAATAATCTTACAGTCTATAGTAAAATGAAAAATGAAGCTAAAAAAAAAAAAAAAAAAATACTACAAGTGTTTCTCTTATGTCTCTCATGGCAGATGAAATAGTTAATCAAAATACTACATCATGACTATACTACTATGTAATGCAATATAAATATATTATTGGTCCTAAACAATTAATAATTTGCATCAGTAAGTTTCAAACAGTAAAGATACTGGTGCTGAATATTATTCATAGCCTAAATCATAGTGATGAGTGTAAAAATAGAGTTTACTATACCATTTTCACAGATTTTCAGAGCTGTAGCCCCTTTATGTGTCTATGATTACCCTCATTCATCATAAATATGAATGCCAGCACACAATTATCAATAAATGAATGAAAAAAAGAAGACCAAATCAAACCCCCTTTTCTTCTGGTACATCAAATTGAGCATGTGAATATTAAGTAACATTTGTCCAAATGCTTCTTCTCACCTGATTATAATGTGGAATTTGATCTGGATAATGAAGGAAATGTGATGATATCAGCAGTATGTTCTATGCTACGAAAATAATCATCTCTAAGCAATCACTGACAGCTAACACCTACCTGCATATAGAAACTGGCTGAAAAATGTGGATATAGCATCTTTCATCAAAACAGTATGTCACATCATGCTGGAAAGAAATTTAAGGAATGGTTCCAAGAATGGAAACCTTATCTCTGTACTGTCATGATTCTAAAATTTGCTGAATGACAATGCAATGGAGTATTCAAATTTGAATATACACTGGTGTGCAAAAATTAAAAACGAGACGTTTTTTCAATATAACTTTGTACAAAAGCTTTCCAAATCAACACATTTAATACCATAAGATCCCCAATATGTAAGGACATGAGTAATGTAAGCAACACTTACTAAAAGAGAAATCAGAGGGATAAAAAGAAGCTTTATTGAAAAAGTAGCATGGAGCGCAATGCGACTGAAGGCCGAAACATCCCTGTGATGGTGTCCAGCAAGAAACATCCGGTCTTTAATAGGGGATATGATCTCCCCTGACTGCTAGGCAGGTTTCAAAGCGTCTGCCCATGCTGAGAATGAGGGTGTCAATGAGTTGTTGAGGCATTGCTGCCCATTCGTCTTGCAGCGCCAATCGAAGCTCCGGAATCGTAACTGGTGGTAAGGTACGAGCTGCCAAGCGTCTGCCTAGAAAATCCCATACATGCTCGATGGAATTGAGATCCGGAGATCGTACCGGCCAATCCATACGTTCAATATCCTCACTCTCTAAGAGCTGTTCGGCAGCTACTGTGCGATGACATGGTGCATTGTCATCCATGAAAAGGAACTGTGGACCCATAGCGCCTCTAAAAAGACGCACATGTGGAAGAAGAATCTCGTTACAATAACAGGTACCGTTGACTGAACCTGCGTCGAAGATGTGAAGGTCTGTACGACTACCAAGCATGATGCCTCCCCAAACGAGAACACCGCCACCTCCATCCTGTCCCTTTGAATGATGTTCGAAGGATGATTGCGGCTTCCCCGCTCTCTCCAGATGAGTATGCGATGAGAATCGCTACTCAGACTGAATCTGCTCTCATCTGTAAAGAGTACTCGTTTCCATTCATTGTCTCTCAAAATTCCGGTGTTCCAGGCACCACAGAGAACGCCTTCTCCGACGGGCAGGCGTTAGAGGTACACACCGTACAGGGCGTCGTGCAAACAGACCACCACCGTGCAGTCTTCTGGCCACGATAAAACGCAATATCGGTTATCCAGTCACCTGTGTCATGTGTCTAGTGATTTCTCCCGCTGTCTGCCGCGTGTTTCTTCTGGCCTTAAGGCAATATACCGGTCATCTGCGGGTGTGGTTCCTCGTGGACGACCACTACTAAACCCCCCGATAGCTGTTCCTGTAGTTTGAAATTGTCTCCAAAGTCGTGAAACGATGCTGTGAGCAATTCCGAACTCTGGAGCCACACTTGTCATACTACGGCCTTTCTCCAACTTCACAATGATTCGACCTCGGGTAAAAGCATCCAGATGTCGTCTAACAGGTTGATTATTCGCCATTTCTCGCTGAGGCAGCAACTCAGTGTGATTTTAACTGCTATACGGCGTGCAATCTCTTTGCCAGAAATACTGATCTTACACCGACAACATGCTTTATACTACTCAGACACTCCCCCATTACGTCTACCTGCATATCTGCGCATGTGCTACCATACATCACCTTACTTAATCTCCTGATTGGTCTTTCTGTCCGCTCTGCCTCTTCGTTCAGCTGATATGCTAATTTTTCGACTTCGTCCTTAATTTTTGCACACCAGTGTTAGAAACAGTAACAAGTAGTAATGATTATGCTAACCTCTTTGTTTATGAAAACTCATTCCAGACATAATATCAAATATGAGGGAAAATGGTACAATTCTGTTATATGCATTATAAGAAAACGTAGCGATAATATGTGTACAAAAGCACCAAATCGAGCAATAATGCCATTTAACTGCATGTAAATTGTCTAGAAAGTTCTACATTTTTAAGTTGCCACTGAGTTACTGGTTTAATTGTTAAATTACTTTTTTATAAAGCTACATATTTAACAATCTGGGAATTGTCCAGTGATTAGAAGTCTGCAACAGAATGTAATAGGCAGTCTGCTGTTCCAAACTGATTCCAAAAGTTTTTGCCAAATTGATTGGCAAACACTTTCCTGAATGTCATAAAAGAAAATATAGCAGGAGGAAGCATTATTTATATAGATTGCTGGAAAGCAGTCAAATCTAATGAATTGCATGATGCCAGCTTTGAACATTTTCTGTCAACTGCAACTATAATTTTCTGGACCCCAAAAGAAGTGTCATATGGAAACAATAGAGTGGTTGTGGAGCATTTAAAGCAGAAAACTAAATGGTGTAATAAATGGGTAGATAATAATGGCGAATTTATGTGGAGATACTTACATAAAAAAAATCAATTTTCGTCTGCAATACTGGAATACGTGAAACATTTTGTGTCTTCTATTTAATTTCAATTATGTTTAACCATTTTTATGTATTACTAGCAGCTTTGCTGCCAGCCTTCGTCTGGCTTTTAAATGTACCAGAAAAATGGCTGAAGGGAACACCAAACATTAAATTTAAAAACTGCAAAGAATTTTACTCTGCAGAAAAACTTCATAAAAAAAGTTATTATGTATAACAGAATTACAATGAAATAAGCAATATCCCTTAATACAAATATTAATTATCCTAATAAATAAATTAACTAACTTCCCTTTGCAAAATCTTAAGAACTCAAATGGTATAAAGGAGGTTAAGAACTTTGTTTCCTAGAAAAATCACTCAAAACTTTTCAATATCTTAAAAACAGTGAAATGAGCAATAAATAACTAAAAGAATACAAAAAACAAAAATCCTGAAAAGCAAAGTATAATTAATGATATTTTATCTTATATTTTCAAGAGAAAAAATTTACAATGAAATAAGCTATATCCCTTAATACAAATATTAATTATCCTAATAAAAAAATTAACCAACTTTCCGTTGAAGAAAAAAAAATCATGTGAAACCTTTCAATATCTTACAAACAGTAACATGAAAGCAAATCAAAAAACATAAAATTCCGTAGAGAATTTTACTCTGCAGAACAATGTTTTCAAAAAATAAATAAATATAAATAAAAATGTATTAATATTATAATATATATATATATATATATATATATATATAAATGACAATGAAATATGCCAATCTCTTAAAAATAGTAACATAAGAAATATAATGAAAACTTGTTGCCAAACCCATATTTCTAAAAAAATGAAACTATTCAAAATGATGCGATTTCATCAAAAATCTATCAACAACAATAAGACAAGAAAATTGCTGCCAAAATCCCATTTTTAAAGATATGAGAAGTGTACTCGGAAGCTTCACTTAAAAAAACTTTTTTAAATACAAAATATTATCATTTTCCTAAAATTCTTTTTGTAAAAGCAGTCGCAAGGATGAAAGTTTAACGTGTCCAAAAATCAAAGAAAAATAAATTGTACATTTTTTAAAATAAACTTTTCTAGAAAAAATCCCATTGAAAAGGTGTTAAGCTTCCTTTGTTAAATAAATTCATATTTAATCGATTTATTGAAACACGAAATATACAAAACTAAATTGTATACGAATGCAAAACATTTTACTCAGAAATTATGTTTTGAAAAATTATACACTA